CTGCAGCTGGAAGGGTGTTGCTTACACAGTTCAAAAAAGAAGAAAACATTCTTTACAATACATATTCTATAATAGATATTCCTTTGTGTGTATTCCTTTGTCTACGCACACACACAATTCTAACTCGTTCAATATGACAATTGTGACAATAGCCTATTATTTTTTTAACCTTTTTCAGTTTTAACTAGGCTACATTTAGCCAAATTGTTTCAGTAGCGCCTAGTGCACGAACGAAAATCACTACAAAACCTATGCCAATAACGTATTTACTGTATATTATTTAATATGTGAAAAAATAATAATAAGCTATCATCTCATATAATGTTTAATGGTAAACACATGCTTCTTAGAAAGGAAAGCCCCATCAGCTGGCTGTGGCATATTCTATAATAGATATTCCTTTGTGTGTATTCCTTTGTCTACGCACACACACAACTGTAGCTCGTTCAATATGACAATTGTGACAATAGCCTATTATTTTTAGCCTTTTCAGTTTTAACTAGGCTACATTTAGCCAAATTATTTCTGTAGCGCCTAGTGCGCGAACGAAAAGCCCATTCTCGCGATACTGTTTATATCAAATATGGCGATGTCCGTAACACTGCAAGGTTTCATTACAATTTACATGATGTTATTTTAATAAATGAGTTCAGCTGAGGCCCGACTTCTTTCTTCAAATCCGATTTAACGGACAGCAGCTTTGAATGTTTTTATTCTGCTTTTATTCAGCACTGTATTTTCGTTATCAAGCACAGGCAACAAACTGAGCAGCAGAGACCACCGAACGACACACAGCTCACTTCTCCGTCCCTGTGAGTGAGTTACCATGAAAACACACGCACACTGTATGAACTGACACATGTTTTATATCTTTATTTATATTTTAAAAACACGTTCTCTCTTTTACGCCTTTAGATAATACTTCATTAAAAACGGCACCAAATGCAAACTGTACATTTTCGATCTTTTTATCATTAGTAAACTCCGGCACACGTTTTGATTTAGATTTTCAGTGTTTGATTCATGGACAAGAATACAAATTCGCGGAAATGACTCGTATAGTAAAGTCACAGTAGTAGCATATGCTATTTTGTTGCCTCCAAAATAGTACAGTCACTGGTTTGTCCTGCCTCTTGTCTGTGTTTGTAATGTCCAGTAATAATTAACTCTTTTCAGTAGATGTGCAGAAATTTCCTCTGAAGATTCGCTCTGAAGTCACAGTAAAGATGACGGAAAGAATGTTTGAAGAGAAACAGCATGCCTCCCTCTATCAAAAATATCGATTTGATCCACCAGATGAGCTGAAGGAGCTTATTCTCCAGTATCTGGACAAAAAGGTAAGACCTGTCGTGTTACTAGTGTAGGCTATGTTTTGAGCGCAACAATCTGACATGTTCGTCCAAGGTGTCGTGTTTGTGCACGACAGCTGAATCACTGCATGTTTGTGTGATAACTGTGAGACCCTTCCAATATGGAGCACATACGTTATAAAACCATTTTAATATTATTGTGATAATAATGACAATAAACTTTAATAAGAACATACTAATGCGGTTATAGTTATATTTATAGGCTACTACTAATAAGAAATATAGAAATATAAATTAATAGTACAATATAATGTTAATTTTGATTCTATAAGATAGCACTGTGGGGTTTATTAGCATTTTACCATGTCTAATATATCATGGTAACACTATGGTACCAGTCATAAGTGCAAATATGGCAAACTCATAACTTAACACCTCTGAAGTCACACAAAAGGAACTGATGTTACAAAACCTATGCCAATAACGTATTTACTGTATATTATTTAATATGTGAAAAAATAATAATATGCTATTATCTCATAATGTTTAATGGTAAACACTTGCTTCTCAGAAAGGAAAGCCCCATCAGCTGGCTGTGGATTTGGGCTGTGGAACGGGGCAGACCTCTCGTCCCCTGACGGCATATTTTGAGCAGGTTGTGGGCATTGATGTCAGTCAATCTCAGGTGGAGCAGGCGAGAGCAGTGCCAGGGTTCCCTAACCTCAGCTACAGGTCAGTAATGCATGGTTCTGCCCTTCCTTAAAAAAAAAAAAAAACATTCTTGTTCCATGGACTATTTGATCTGATAATGTAAAAGATATGGAACAATGTACCATTATACCTTTGTATAAGTTTAAAGACCAGATTAGGTTTTTTGAGACACAACAATAATGACAATAAACTTTAATAAGAACATACTAATGCGGTTATAGTTATATTTATAGGCTACTACTAATAAGAAATATAGAAATATAAATTAATAGTACAATATAATGTTAATTTTGATTCTATAAGATAGCACTGTGGGGTTTATTAGCATTTTACCATGTCTAATATATCATGGTAACACTATGGTACCAGTCATAAGTGCAAATATGGCAAACTCATAACTTAACACCTCTGAAGTCACACAAAAGGAACTGATGTTACAAAACCTATGCCAATAACGTATTTACTGTATATTATTTAATATGTGAAAAAATAATAATATGCTATTATCTCATAATGTTTAATGGTAAACACTTGCTTCTCAGAAAGGAAAGCCCCATCAGCTGGCTGTGGATTTGGGCTGTGGAACGGGGCAGACCTCTCGTCCCCTGACGGCATATTTTGAGCAGGTTGTGGGCATTGATGTCAGTCAATCTCAGGTGGAGCAGGCGAGAGCAGTGCCAGGGTTCCCTAACCTCAGCTACAGGTCAGTAATGCATGGTTCTGCCCTTCCTTAAAAAAAAAAAAAAAACATTCTTGTTCCATGGACTATTTGATCTGATAATGTAAAAGATATGGAACAATGTACCATTATACCTTTGTATAAGTTTAAAGACCAGATTAGGTTTTTTGAGACACAACATTGTGCAGTAAAGTGCTAAAAGATTACTGTGGTCTCGTCCCTATCATGTTTATCATTAAATGACAGAGTAGGCACGGCAGAGGAGCTGCCATTCCCAGATGGCTCAGTGGACCTGCTGACGGCTGCGTCTGCAGCTCATTGGTTTGATGCTGAACGTTTCATAAAGGAGGCTACACGTGTCCTGAAGCCACGTGGCTGCTTGGCTCTCTTTGGCTATGGAGACAATGTGAAAATACACTATGAATCCTGTGGTGATCAACTTAATAACATATATGAGGAAGTAAGCCTATTTCATATGTATATATATATATCAATGAAACAAGAGTATCTAGAGAGCAGGTTTAGTAAATTGGCACTGTTTAATATGTAAATGCCAAAGCTTCAGCTTACTGAATACATGTTTAGCAACTTCAACTTTTGCAAGCCATTTCACTAAAGGTTAATATGCTCATAATAACTGCTAACTGCACGCTTGTATAATTTATCCTGCTAGGTAAAGCAAATACTGCTGCCTTATACGAGCAGTAAGGTAACTGGGGCCAACAGCAAGCTAAAGGACTTATTTGAAGCCATACCCTACCCAGATAAAGAGAGGTAAACCAGAGCACAGCACTCACTGTAATGAATAATTAACCATCTGTGTCAATGAGCCTCTACACAAATCTGCTTGTCACATTTTCTTTCTTTTGTATAGGTACATTTGTGTGTAAATAAAACATTTTGATTATACATTATTTTAAAAAAATCGAATTAATTCTAAAAGCATTATATTTTACATGTTTTGTTTTAAATAATGTCATCACTGACATGAGTTGCAGTTGTAGATTCTAACAATTTTTTAATAATCTTCTGTCTTTGTAAGGATTGAAATAATTCCAATAAAGCAGCAGCTGAGCATCAAGAATGTAATTGGTTTTATTCAGACATTCTCCATGTACCAAGCATATCTGAGAGCCGATCCAAGCGCTGCAACCATGCTGCTGGAGAGAACAACATCACGGTAATTACTTCTTTCTGAGAAACTTCAACACTTCAGGCTCTTTTACTGTCATGCAACGTTGATTGTATAACACAAAATTAGACTGCATGTTTCTTATTAAAGGAAATTAGCTTTTTGCCCTTTATAGATCATGTTGTTTTTCTTGTCACTTATTCTGTTCCAGTATTCTAGAGGAGATGAAAGTGTCATCAACAGAGGCCAAAGTTAACTTTATAATGGAGTACTTCTATGTGCTTGCATGTAAACCTGAGTGACACATGAGCCACCTCACCTGTACTATCATCCCAGGTGTTTAGCTACTGTAGTTCCTACAAAAGGTTTAATCTTACTTTCTTAATCAAGTTGTTAGCAAATTTGTGGTCTTACACATTACACAGTATTTTTTTTTATATAATTACACATGAAAGATTCTGAAAATATAAACCACTTAGTATTTGCACTATGCATTATGATGTTGCACAATGTTAATTAGAATTAATTTCCTCTACAACATGCAGGCATTGATGTAATGTTGTTTAAAATAACAATAAAATCAATGTTTATTTGTTTTTTGTTTTTGCAGTTGTGTAGTTTGTTCACATGAATAGTAAAAAATTCCCTGGATGTCACAGAAATGTTTACTCTATCTGGGTGTTGTAAAAATGTAAATTAATCTTTCTTAACATTCACATAAACTTTTTATTCCATAAGCGTGTTGTTCTTTAGCAGTATCAACATTTACACATTATGCCTTTCTATACTTTTATTTTTTTCATGTGCTCTCTTTTAATTTTGTAAGGTATATCCATTTTCATTAACCTTTCTGCTTACGTCACTTCTTTCGCAAAAGATCTCATGATTCTAAACTAAACAGAGATGTCTTTCAAAATCACGCTAACATTGAAACCACACTTTTCCATGCCCTGATATCACTGTGAATGTTTTATTTGATGTTTTTATGAATGTTTTATTCAGCATGACATCTGGTTAGCCCGGAAACCTTTGATCCCTTTCCGGTCATTGAGATGTTTATTCATTTTGAAAGAACTTTTAGTCCTGAGTGAATGTGAAAAATCTCTGTGTGAGGCTCAAGTCCTCATTAGCAAACTGGGCACATAACGGTTGCCTCAAAAAAATGTTTTAAACAGCTTTGTGCTATTTGCATGGTTGATACTGTCTCTCAGTGTGGGAAGAAAGAAGCAAAGCCTGAAACCTAAGATGACTCCCCCTTTACATCCTAATTTGATTTCCTCGGGCTAGTATGCTGACTGTTTAAATCCCTGCAGCTTTCTGACTTGTACAGCTGTCAAAAATGGCTGTACGTTTGTTTGAAGATAAAGAACATGCAAACTGATACTGGAAGTACCGAATGTCTCCTTCTGAAGAGCTCATCGACAAGGTTCTACAGTTCCACAGGAGTAATGTAAGACTTTCATAACGGTTTGTTGTTTTTTATTCATCAGTCTGCCATCTGTGTCATTTCATTTACAATTGCACATATTGTTTACTGCATTTTCTCAGAAAAATTCAGCCAATGACCTGGCAGTAGATGTTGGCTGTGGGTCAGGGCAGGGAACGTTGCTCCTAGCACCACATTTTACTCGTGTGGTCGGGACAGACATCAGTCCTGCTCAACTGGAGATGGGGAGGAAACATGTTAACGTTTCAAACATCTCTTACAGGTAGGCAAACCTGAATTGGATGTTACTGCATGTGTGACAGCTTTACTTTGTGTAAATCTCCTGTCACTGTTTACCTTCCATCATCCAGACAGTATACAATCATTAACACATAGCACTCACGTTTAGCAACAGTTTAACTACAAAATTAAGTGTTAATCTGAAAAGTTGTGCAACTGAGTATTATGTCATTATGGTATATTAATTATGGAACTGGGCCATTATGGCATTTCTGTCACAATAGACATTTCTGTCACCCCTGCATATGCACACCATATCAAACTAATCAAGCACAAATATTTGTTCATAGAGTTTTGTTTTTCATATGAATTACATTTCATTCATGTATTCCTTTATTCCAGAAACATTTATTCAAAGTGACTTACAAATGATCTGCATGACTGTTGTCATGATTCAGCAGCTAGAATCTGCTAACTTTTTCCCATTTTCTGTGCTGATTTTGGGGGGACAATCTGCAGATTTACACAAAGAAAAAAAAAGTGTTACATGGAATCATGGAATGAAAGTATTTGTCCGAAATTCTAAAATATTTCATAAAACAATATGCAAGGGGCGGGCATCCTATATATTACTATATTAACATGACTATAAACTGTTAGTATATTAAAATTTAAATATATACATTTTCCAGAGACTTCTGAGTTCTCTGTGTGTGCATGTTTTACTTTTGAGTTGTATTTTTTAAAGCAATACATCATTATAATATTTGTTGTATTGCCTATGTTTTTTTTTTTTATAAAAGAAAGTGTGTCCAGACAAAATGACTCTCATTACTGTATTACAGCAATGACAATCATTAAAGTGTCAAAAAAACAAAACAAAACAAAAACCCTGCATATCAGGCACATAAAAGGCGGGGACATGAAAATAATGTCTTAATGGGTCTAAATATAAAATATTTATTTATTTATTTAGAGGTGAAATACTGTGATTATGCTCTTGATTTTGTTCTCTTCATGAGTGTCATCCATTCATATGCACATGCATCTGTTTTACTTATTTGAAACACAAAGGGAGAGTCCAGCTGAAGAACTGCCTTTTGAAGATGGCTCTGTAGATCTTGTGACTACCATGTCTGCATTCCATTGGTTTGACCGTTCACGTTTTCTTCAGGAGGCTCACAGAGTGCTTAAGCCTCATGGCTGCCTCGCAATTCTCAACTACACTATGGACATGGAGCTGAGCTATGGAGACTGCTCAGAGACTTTAAACCACATCTGTAAAGAGGTGGGAATCATAACACTGGTATTTCTGACATTCAGAGCCGGCCCGACATAATAAGTGATATAAGCGGTTGCATAGGGCCCCATGTCAGGGTTCAGCCAGTTATGCTCGGTAATAATGACTTTGATAAAGTTTCAGTTGCGTGTGTTAATGTTTGAAAAAGAAGAAGCGGCGCTACAAAACTGGTGCAGACTGCAGAGAAGTGGAAAAAGAGAAAAGAAAGTGAGCAAGATAAGGGTGAGTGATGGATTTAAAAAATATATTGTTGAAATGGCGCATGCTGCATTGTGCTATATTTTTCTGAAAGCAATGGTTAAAATTTTAAATAGTTGAAAAATGTTAAAAGTGCTTAAGTAAATGTATCTTCATTTATGGAATACATAAATATGAAGATATATTTACTTAAGCACTTTTATATATATATATATATATATATATTTAATCCATCACTCACCCTTATCTTGCTCGCTTTCAATATTGAAAGATAAATACGGAGTAAATTCTGATTAAGACCGTTTGGTAATTTTTTACACCAGGGTTATATAGTTAACTCAAAAAACAAAACAAAAAAACATTTTCGTTACTTAAAATAAAATACTTAAACTCTTTTATTTTAGATAGTTGACGAGGCAACATTTTCCATTTTCATTTAGTTTATCTTGATGTTCTAAAATAACTAAAACTGAAATTAAATGTGATAACTATGTAGACATTTAAAAACAACAAAACTAATAAAAACAACAAAAACAAACAAAATTACTAAAACTTTACCTAAAATGAAAATGACAGCAGAAATAATTCAACAGAAATATAATAGTACATGAATGGTACTAAAATAACATTGCTTTACAATAAGGTGTCAGTGTAGGATGTGTACAATGGGTGATGGGGGGTGGTTATGGGGGGACCATCTTTTGAAAATCTGCTTAGGGCCAGCCCTGCTGACATTTCAATGCTTGCCAGCTGTCTAAACATCTGTGTGTGTCACATAATCTATGAGAACATTTTAGAATTGGAAAAAAATTGGAAAATGATCAAAAATATCTAAATTTCTGCTCATATATGACCCATAAGTCATAATATTAAATAATTTACTCAACAAACATTACTCACAGCATTTAACAGTACTAGACTGATTAAACTTATAGTTCACTGTTTGTTCAGCAAATAGTTCATGAAACATGACATGTTTTTGACATAAAATAAACAAAAAATCTGTTACATGTGCACATACATCTGTCTCATTACAGTTTTATGCAGCACTGCAGCCATTCCGGAGCCCTTACCTAGGTTCCAGCCCCTTTGAACTTTACAAGAAAACATACGACTCTCTCCAGTATCCAGTCAAAGAATGGTAATGTAGTTGTATACAAACTAGCTGTTAAAATATTAACTTTATAGATAATTAAGTAGGTCAAGACAGTTCAAAGTGCAATCAGTCTTAGGTTTAGAAACTGAAGAAGGTTTTATTAGGCTATGTTTAAGTAGCATTTGTTATATTGCGACTATAACCACAGTTATTGCCACATAACAAGGGCTCATTATGCCTTGAGCACCTTTTATGTAATGGATGCTACATTATAAAATAAGAAGGATTTCAATTTGAACATTTAAATGTAATTTTATTCATTAAGTGTCCCTGCCATAACAGACTGTTGCTATCTGGGATTAAAAAAAAATGCTGTTACTTTATTGTTGTTTATAACACGGCTGGAATGTTGCATTGATCAGTCAGAAGCCGGACTGCAGCTGTGTTTTGTCTCTAGGCAGGACATTTTTTGGGTGAGGAAGCCCGTCCACGTCTCTGGCTACATCGGCATGGTGGAGTCTTTCTCCACTTTCCAGACATTCTTAAAAAAAGATCCAGAAGAGGCCAGACGACTCTCACAGGACACTGAACAAAGGTATTAGACTTAGAGTTCTCTTATGTCATTTCTGTGTAATATATAGGCTTCTCCTGTGTGTATCACATCATCTCTCTCTCTCTCTCTTTTTCTCACACTCCATTTTTCCTGTCAAGACTGTTGCGTGCAATGGGTGTGACATCCTCAGAGACAGAAGTTATCATGGAAGTTAAATACTTCTATTTTCTAGCCTGCAAGCCTGCAAATGACTGAGCCAAATATTGTCATCAATGGAAAGCTTATGATGTAAAATCTCAATTTCAAAAAATTTACCCTTATGACTGGTTTTGTGGTCCACGGTTGGTCACATATTCGAGAATGATCAACGGAGTTTCTAAATTCCATAACCACCAAGTTTCATAACCATCAAATAAAAAGTTTCCATACACATGAGATCTCAATCCTTATTTTCAAAATTAAATTAACAAATTTAATTTTAGTTAAACTTGATTTTTTTTAAATGTAACTTAATTTAGGTTATTTAGTTAAAAATCCAAATCATTGCAGAAGGTTCAGGTCATTTCTGTGCGTAAATTGCAGCCTATATTAAATGTTTGTCTGAATAAATGAACAGACGCAGACAAAAACGTCTCTAGGTTACGTATGTAACCATGGTTCCCCGAGAGTAAATAGACAGACACATACACAGAGCGCTACTGAAGAGCAGAAGCTGGTTTGCGGCCGGCCGGATGCGCTTTTATGCTTGCTGGTGCTTACGTCACCCTGCTCGTGACGTCTCGCTGCTCCATTGGACGGATTTGACACGTGCTTCAGAACGCGGTCACGCAAGGGCGTTCCCAAAGCGATCTCGACGCAGCTCGAGTTCCTGAAGGGGAACCGTCTTTCACTGACCCACGTACAAAGAAGCGATCATTTCAAAGTGTATTTGAAAGAGCGTCCACCAGGGCGCAGTGTTGACTCGATCATACAGCAGTACCTGCGAGAGAGAAGAGAAGCAGTTCTACCACACATCCACGCAGCTGCCTGTGATGACACGACCCAGCAATTCCACGGTACAGTGATTTAACACAGGCACGGCTTCAAAACACAAACAGAAACAACGGAAACTGAGAGTGACATTTCTGTGTACACTTCAAAATGTTTACCGCAATTATCTGAAACAATCCAGTGCTTGCTTGAACCACTGGTATGTTTTTTAGCTGTGGATTTAAATCATGCTTATTTCTCTTTTTATCTACAAATGTCTTTAAGAGTAATTATCATGGTTCTCTTTTGGGTAGGCCTACAAGCAGGACCATATATTGTAATAAAATGTGTTAGTGGTTTGGCATTGTGTGTCTTTGAGCTAGCTGATCATGCACAAATAGCCAAAGGGTGAATGGAAAGAATGGATAACAGGATCTGTGTGTTCAAATCGCTTACCTAGAAAAGTAATGCACATCAAATGACAGCACATGAGACAGTGAATGTAACAGAATATAGTGCCTATGCTGATATGTGAGGCAGTTGATAGGTTACACTACACAAACAGTTTACTTACTTATTCTTATTAATACATACATCAAGTATTAAATCATTTTTGAGCGAGATGCTAACGGTCTAATCAGATTCAATGATCTATGCTAAGCTACAGCTAAAAGTGCTACCGCCAGACCCGGAGATCGGCTGAATGGATTAGAAAACAGTAAAACTCAACTGTTTAACTCTAGGGGAGTTGGAAAATGAGCCTATTTTCAAAAATAGTGGAGTGTTCCTTTAAATGTGTGGTAAATCAGTCTGTGCAGAGCTGTACTATATATTCACATCTTAACATCTTCCACCATTTTGGAGAGTACCACGGCGCATGCGCACGCTTTCCCTAGAACGTAATTAACGTAATCAGTGTTGTTTACATACAGGAGAAAGTGTGCGCATGCTATACGTTGATTACATTCTGGGGAAATGCATTATGATCATCACCAAAATGTTGGAAGACGTTAACTCGGGGAGAAGAATTGTTGAATAAGTTATGTTATTTTTGTTTTCTTTGCACACAAAAAGTATTCTCGTAACTTCGCAAAATTGAAGTTGAGACACTGATGTCACATGGACTATTTTATTGATGTCCTTACTACATTTCTGGGTCTGGGAACATTTCAGTTGTGTTGCTGTCTATGCAGGGTCAGAGAGCTCTCAGATTCCATCAAAAATATCTTAATTTGTGTTCCGAAGATGAACGAAGGTCTTACAGGTTTGGAATGACATGAGGGTGAGTAATTAATGACAGAATTTAAATTTTTGGGTGAACTAACCCTTTAATACTTGATTCACATCATTCAGTGGTCTGATATTTCCTAATATTCGCTGTCACCCATGGCAACACTATAGTCCGCTAATATGGGTAAATGTCCACTGCAGCTAGAGAACTATGCTCAAAAATGCTAGAGCTCCTCAGCTTTGCAGCGTGTCTGTATAATCTGTGTGAAATCTGAATGAAATATAGTAATAATATGTAATATGATGAACTAAATCCAGCAGAAACTGGCTTGGATAACAAAAGTGTATTAATTACTGTAAATTGTTGCAGTGTTTGTCTTTTTGCTAGGCTGATTTCTTTGTACATTGCAATTAACTATTTTTTGGTCCCACTTTATATTGAGTGGCCATAACTACTGTGTACTTACATTTAAATTAATAATTTGGTACAATGCACTTATTGTGTACATACAATTATAATTACACTGTACCCATTCCTTACACCTTAACCCATCCTTAAAGCTACCCATATCATCAAGCCTGTCCCTAACCTTACCATTAGGGACATCTCAATAGCAGCAAAAGTGTTTTGCAATATAATACAAACACAATAAGTACATTGTACTTATTTTTTATGTAAGTACATAGTAGTTAAGGCCACTTAATATAAAGTGGGACCTATTATTTCTGTGGCTAAAAGAATGATTTAGAAAACTTTAAAGCGTGAATAACACATTTTTGAGAAACACGATAAAGTTTATCAAATATATGAGTTGCATAATTATAATTTTAACCATAGATTCCATAGACATTCACTGTATATTACTGCAAACACTTTTTTTTTTTTTTCATTTTCTAAAGGCCTGAGTCAATTATTTTTCTATAGTATGTCACAAATGCTGTCCATACTGCTTTGCTTATATTGCACCTTGAATATTAGGCGACATTATAATTATCTGCCTTTGTAGGAGGTAAGTTTTCCTCAGTACATACAAACGGAAGTTATTGTTTTTAGTCCCTCAGAACATAGGGCAAGTATTCAACCCAATCTCGGGACCTTAAACTCCTTCATTTCTCCCCATGTTCGAAATCTGGGTGTGTTGTTTGATAATTCCTTAAAATTTGATAAACAAATTAGTGCTGTAGTAGGTTCTAGCTTCTTCCATCTTCGCTCCCTTTCTAAAATCAAGTCATTTCTCTCAAAAAGCTCTCTAGAGGTTGCTATCCATGCCTTTATTACGTCTCGGCTGGATTACTGCAACGCCCTCTATTTCGGAATATCAAAGTCCCAAATCTCTCGGCTACAAGTAGTTCAAAATGCTGCAGCTAGATTCTTGAAGCGGTGTAAAAAGTTTGATCATGCCACTCCCCTCTTGCGATCATTGCATTGGCTGCCAGTTCACTATCGAATTGAGTTTAAAATATTGCTACTTGTCTATAAATCACTTAACAATCAAGCTCCGTCTTATTTGTCTGATTTACTCCACCCCTACTCCTCAAAGAGGGGACTAAGATCAAATTTCTCCTTCAGACCCCTAGAACACGCTTAAAAACCAGAGGATCTAGAGCCTTTGAAGTGGCTGGCCCCACCCTTTGGAACAACTTACCAATTCACATCAGAATGGCTTCTACTTTATCTGAGTTCAAGTCATATCTTAAAACACATCTTTTCTCTCTGGCTTTTAACATGTAGTAATGTGCGGCGCCTTTGAATTGATTTAATCTGCTTTTGTTGTTGTATGGATTTTGAATTGTTTTTATTTGTTTTACTGATTTTCTCCTTGTTATATATTATTGTATGTTGTGCAGCACTTTGGTCGGCCTTGTTTCGTGCTTAAATGTGCTCTAGAAATAAAACTGAACTTGAACTTGATTCTTATTAAAGCAACTGTATTAAAGTTCTTCAGTCAAGCACAGTGATTGATTTTTCTCTTTGTGTTTTGTTGTTTTATTAACATTAAAGGGATAGTTCACCCAA